ATATGATTCTCTGGACTAAACTAGAATCTATAGGCCTAATATAGTTTAAGTTTATAGTATTAGACGTCAAATCCAATTAGATTCGGGAGATCCGATATAATAAGGTGTTAATTGGTTCACCCGTTATTATCCGCAACGTTTGTGGTTGGTAGCGGTTAATGGCATTTTATCACAATCATATAAATCGCTGCAAATCGCTTTGTATCGTTTTATAACGCTGAAATCTAAAATGTGCTTTCCGCCAGCGTTTACGGTTGCGGGCGATAGCGGTTGGATAAAAAAAATAAAAAACAAATAAAATCACGCTAAAAAATAAAATAAAAAATCACGTTAAAAATAATTATAAAACCTTTACCTTACTAATTTTCTCCTATATATATATAAACCCTAACCTCTCACTTTTTCTATCAAGTTCTAATCTCTAATCATGACTTTTATATCAGTTGAAGAAAATTAAAATACAAGCATAAGTGTCATAAAACTTTGGTTTAATTCATTTATATTACTTGTTCAGTTTTAACTTTTAAAGTAAGAAATTATAAATATATATCTTATTAATAACAAAATTAGTTTGATATAATTTTTTTTGTTATTCAAAAAATTACATGATCAAACGAGATGACATGTGCGTTACTTCAACGGACTATCGTGAAAAACAAACTCAAAATAAGTATCTTAGAGTGCACTCCAGAAAGAACGTATTTTGAAAAATACTAATGAACAATTTGGAGTTGATTTGAGTTGGGGTCGTGCAAAAAATCGATTAGATCAATTGAAAAAATTTACATCATGCATAAAACAAATCCAAAAGATCCACGTATTGGAGCAAATTTTTCCTAGTCTATTACATTACTAGACACAATTTTGGGTGATGTTCCCAATAATTGAAATAAAACATATTATTATAAAATTAATTAGTTTTTAAAATAATTATTTAGTGATTGATATTAATCATAATAATAAAGTTTTTCTGTTTTTTCTTTATAATTATATATGATGTTTATTTTACCAATTTTATGTTTAACCGCTAAAACAATCGCTGGTTTGCCAGTCAAATTTGTCCCGCAAATAGACCCGCCTTAAAAAATTTAACCAGTCGTGTAAACCGTTGAATAACGCTCAAAACCGCAATCGTCCGCTTCCGCAAACTCCCGCATCCGCAATCGCAACCGCTGCGTTTAAACCAGTCAAGCCCTAAGTCATCTGTTCTCAGATTTCTTGTATTTGATAGCACATATCACGCTATCAAAAATAAGAAAGTTGGAGACTGAATGGTCACGAGAAGGAAATGTTACATTTTTTATGTACAAGACCTTAATTCGGTGATCTAGAAGGATCGAGATATAAGGAAGATTGGTCCGTATAGGTACTCAGAGAGCGAAGTCATTAACTCCCAGTAGCTCGTTTCCAGTCTCGAGGGATCTGGGCCAGTTATGAATAACCCATTTGGGTGGGAATACTATTTAAATTTCTCTCCAATCGATAATAGAAATATGAATTAGTGTGATTTGATTGCTTATACTCTCACAAACCCGCAAAAACAGCATTTAATGTGTGTTCCTTGAGTGTGTCAGGTGAAAATGACTTTTCACAAGAATCAGAAAAAAAAAACAGAAATTCAGGAAAGAGCCATACCACGTATGAGTTGCCGACTCAGTCTACACGCACCAAGAACGGTTTTATTGCTGGCAGAACATGGCAATGAAAGTTGGTGAGACCATCAGAGATATAACGCCATCACAAGATTCGAGTTCAGTCGAGTCGGATCATGAGCCGATCCACCCGATTCACAATTTATGGGTCAACCTAGTATACTAACTCGGATCAGATCATTCTCTCTAAATACATTACCCTTCCCAACAGGGAGGGGATTCACACTTTTTGCCATTTTAAGTCTTACGATATCTTTCTAGATACTTGTGGTTCTTAAGCTTAGGCATTCTACACGATTTTCACTATCTTTCCTGTCATCTCGCTTAATTTTTCCTCCACGATGTTGTTTAAATCGTAGAGCTCATTCACTCTTATATTTTTTTTTTCTTTTTTCACCGCAAAAAGCTCATTCTCACTCTCAGACTCGAGTAGATCCTACCTATCTCAAAGACTTTCGGGTCTATTTTCTTTCACTAAAATTTTCCGATTATTTTCCACTTTCCAAACAACTATATTGTGGTTTTTGTTGAACTGTTTTCTGACTTGAATGTTGGAATGCCTTCGAAAAATACATTTTATCATGTTTTCCGGATTTTGATGTCATTTTTATTTTGCCGGAGATTTGCCTCTAATAGAAGACTGAAATTTCACAAACAGCTATAATTGTTTTTAATATAGAAATTGTGTATTGTTGAGGCACACTTATACTAGAACTCCCACGAAAAAATTGGAGGTTTCTTACCGGAAAAAGCTCATAAATTTATACACAAATTATATCATCGTGCTAAACCAAATTAAAAAATCATTTCCGAATTTTGAAAACTATTTAGAATTTCTTAACAACTAATTTTCTTTAAAAAAATATTTTAAAAGAAATATAGAGAAAAATACATTTAAATATATTAAAATCTACAATATTAATTTCATTAATATTTTTGTTTGTGAATTTTTTTTATTTCACTAAACCCAATCACCCATATCAAATTTTGAATTTACCCTATACTGTTTCCACTTGATTTTCAAAATCGACAGAAATTAGAAAAGGAAAGAAAAAAACACTGTGCTGAATTCTTTTTCTGCTGGGGAGCGTTGTGGAGAAAGGAAAGGAAGACGGTGATGGGAGAGGGTTTAGGGGTTTACAAGGAATATGTCGCCGGAATGATGGCTGGTCTCGCAACAGTCGCCGTCGGCCACCCTTTCGACACCGTCAAGGTACTCAATTTTCAGTCCCGATTTCGATTGTCCGGTTTATACCAAGTGGGTATATGTGTTTCATATCCCTCTATTCGAGGGAAATATGATTTCATATATCAATTCCTTACTCAGCTGCGGAATTTTGCTCATTTGCTTTGGTCTAATTACGGATGCATTGGTGAGAGAAAGTGTTTCCATACTTGCGCATCGATATACTTAAGTGTTAATTGTTGTTACCTGTTTTTGCTTTTTTTTTTGGCATATAAACATCTCTGCTGCTGCACTTAGTTTTGGGTAAAGGTTAAACAATCTTTAGCAAAGAAATAAGATTCATATTGTCAATAAGGGTACTTGTGATACCGTTGAGACTTAGCTTGGTTTGTTTTTTATGAGCTTTGTAGGCATAAAAATCATTTCTTGTTTTGGTTTTAACCATTTTCGTCAGTTTATCACTGGATTGGTAATGATTGATTCTTGTGGGGGGCGGGTTTTGTCATTTGTGTGTTTCTGTGTCAGGTAAAACTTCAGAAACATAATACAGATGTGCAAGGGCTCAGATACAAAAATGGCCTGCATTGTGCTTCACGGATCCTGCAAACTGAAGGAGTATATTTCCTTGCACTCTTGTTATGTCTCTCTCTTTCACTCTAGCATCCGAAAACAAATTTACTACTTGAAATTTGGGATTTTTTTAGTGTCAATAGAAACTTGGTAGCTCCATCATCGCCCTGATTGGCCAGGTATAAGTTTTTTGCTGATGTGAAAAATCATATTTAGGTCAAAGGACTTTATAGGGGAGCAACATCGTCGTTTTTGGGAATGGCCTTTGAAAGTTCATTAATGTTCGGCATATACTCCCAGGCAAAACTCTTTTTGCGGGTAATATTGCAGGCCGTTTTGATCTTTTTACTGCATTTCAGATATATTTGGTTCTTTTAGATTTCAAAGCTTGCTTCTTTTTTTTTTTAATTGTAAGGGAACTTTGCCAGATGATGGGCCACGACCGGAAATAATAGTTCCATCTGCTATGTTTGGTGGAGCTATTATTAGTTTTGTATTATGTCCAACAGAGCTAGTAAAGGTGAAATCTCCAGAGCACAATTTCTTCTCCACCGATTAATACCTTTGATTGTTTCCATGAAGTATTAGGACATTCATTGTTTTCTCCAGTGTCGAATGCAGATCCAAGGCACGGATTCTTTTGTTCCTAACATTCGTAGATACAACAGTCCTCTTGATTGTGCCGTTCAGACTGTTAAAAATGAAGGGGTGAGAAACTCTCTTTGCTAAAGTATAGTTGCAAACATTAGTTTGATGGGTATATCTTTCAGGTAACAGGTATTTTTCGCGGTGGTTCAGCAACATTATTAAGAGAATGTGTTGGAAATGCTGTCTTTTTTACTGTCTATGAGCACTTACGGTATCACATCCGCTTGAAATTGGAGAATTCTAAGCTGAAAGATGGTTACTTGGTTGACATGGGGATAGGAGTTTTCACTGGTGGTCTTGGAGGCATGGCTGTAAGAATCTTTCTAGTGTGTTTCATGAGATTCGGTCATGAAAAAATGTTGTTATCTAGTTCAATGAATATGACTACAGTTTCTATGATACAGTGCTGGTCAGCTGTTTTACCTTTTGATGTAGCAAAAACCATTATCCAGACCTCTCCAGACAAACCTACCGAGACAAATCCTTTGAAAGTGTTGAGATCGGTCTGTCAGCCATCTTGATTGCCTCTTTGAATCAAAACATCGATACAAAGAGTATATAAATAGTGTTTTTGACTTTTAAACCATCTCTGCAGATTCACAAGAGGGCTGGACTCAAGGGATGCTATGCAGGTTTGGGTCCAACCATCGTGAGAGCATTCCCTGCTAATGCAGCAGCAATCGTTGCTTGGGAGTTCTCAATGAAAATGTTGGGAATCAAACGTGACTAGGATTAGTTTTCGACTCTACATTATTTGGTCCAATTTTTGGATCTTAGAAACACTAGGAGCTTGCATCTGCCTCGGAAATTGATGAGCTTTCTTGTAACAGAAATACAGATCTCAAGAATCAAAAGTGTCTCTCAGATTCTTATGATTTTTTATTAGCATTTTAGCTGTGTCTCCTCATTGTTGATTGCAAAACATATACAGATTCCTGGTTTACTTAAAGAACTTGACTTTGAATAACCATTTCGTAAGTCTTACACATAATTTATTCAAGCATTTACTTAGTGTCAATGCATTTGATGATGTCTTAGGTTTAGCAGATAGCTTTGATTGCAGGCAATATGGAGAAACAGAGAGAGACACAGAAGATTACAAGGAGCTAAAAAGAGACTGACAGAAGAGAGCAAGCAAAGCCTATTACATTTAACTTTCAAATCGGGATTTTGAGACCTTTCACCGTTTTTTTATTCAGTTGTGCTTTTACGCCTTCTCTCATTGTGTCCAGCTAAGCGTCTCCTGCAACTCCGCTTGGCTTCATCAAACTCACCGAGCTCGTGAAACCTTGAAACCAAAGTTTTAAAGTCTCATTTATTCCTTTTTCTTGTTTTTGGTTGTCGCAGGAGATGAAGATATTTGATGACAGAAATTTTACCTGCTACATTGTTGGCAGAAACGTTGGTGAAGACCAGAGATCCGAACAAGAGGAGCTTTGGCATGAAACTCGCAGACTTTGTGTCGTTTGTGGTAGTTTTTGGCTCTGCTCATATCCGCAGTACATCTCTCGACCTGACAAACTCCACTGCTACTGCTACTACTTGTAGCTCTACCTTTCTGCTTCTTCTCCGAAGCCTCTTCTTCTTCTTCACAAGTATCCTCATCTTCTTCTTCATCTTCTTCTTCATCTTCCTCGCTCATTTCTCTTAAATTCCTCTTCCCTTCCGCTTTGCTTCTTCTCATACTCATCTGCAAAATTCAACTCTCTCTTTCTCTCTCTCTCACATGAAAGATGGAACAAGAGGAGAAGAAGAAAAGGAAGTGAAAGTAAACATTAGAAGAGAAGTAAAGGACCCCCCAAAACAAAAGTGGGGAAGGATCTTAGGTGCTTATATTGTTGGACCACAAAATTTCACTCTTTTTTCTTCTCTCTTCATGTACTAAGGTAAAAAGTTTATTAGCATGTTCTGTGTAGATACGATCAAGCTTTAGTGCTCAGAAGTGTGCTCTATTATTCCTATGTATCAAAAGCAAAAACAAAAAAAAATATGAAAAAAATGAACTAACATTTCGAGAGTGATTTAAAGAAGTTTTATATTCCACACTCCACAGTATATAAAACTAAACATTTTCTGGTAAATCTATTTTTTGGTCAAACAGTAAAGTATTTATATCTTCTATGCGACTATGCCACACTTTTTTTATCATTAATAATGTATCAAAAGAAAAAAGGAATTGATAAAAAATGAAATATCTTTTCGAGAGTGATTTAAAGAAGTTTATAGTCCACACTCCACGGTATATAAAACTAAACATTTGCTAGTAAAATATTTATCTATTTTTTGGTCAAACAGTAAAGCATGTATATCTTCTATGCCACACTTTTTATCATTAATAATAATTCAATCATCTTTCTGTAGAAATTATTTTTGTTTGTATGTCTATTTTTAAGTTAAATCCATGCATAATTCCGGTTATATATCTTATACAAATAGGTGATTAAGGATATCTAATACATGTGGATAATATGGCAATATTCTAATGTGTTTAATTTGGTTTGAAAGCAAGATTGAACAGCAAACAATTCATTCGGAACTGATCAATCACGGGGGGTGGCTCAATAATTTATTCAACAATTGAATTGTAGAAAAGTTATAATTGAGGAATATGTCCATTGGATAAAACTAGGCATGAATTTTTCGGGAAGGGTAACCTGTTCCGTCTCATATCCGTCTTGAAATACCCAAACTTTTCGGGAAAAAAAAATTGTAATTTCCTATTCGGGTTTGAAAATAATATTTGAATGGGTAAGGGAAAGGGTAGGGACGGGAATGAGATTATCCGAACTTCCCGTTGGGTAATTATATAAAATTAAATTTTAGAGATTTCGTTAATTGAATTTTTTTTATAATAAATAATGATTTTTCCAATTTATTAATAAATAATAATTTTTTTTTAAACAAAAATTAATTTTAATATAATTATCCGAATTATCCAAAAAATTTTCCGTCCCTTTCCCGTTCATTTCCCGATTATATTTTATTTTGGGATTGTATGGGAAGTATGTTTTGATTCCCGAATTTCCCGTTCCCGTCCCATACCTGTAAATTCCCCTCCCATTATTTTGTGAGAATACTTTGGATAATATATTCAGATTCCCGAAATTCACATTCTCATCCCTTACCTGTCAATTCCCGTTCCAAATCCCGAAAAATTCAAACCTAGATAAAACCATGTGGTATGACTATATTATTTTTGTGATCTCTTCCAAACTAACGCAGTTTGACATCCCGAGCTCTTGGTCCAAATACCCGTTGGTCAACCAAATCTACTGATGCTTGGTGTCGTAAAAGATAATATTTGGTTACAAAAAGAAGAAAATTCTATTTTATAGCAAAGGGCCATCACTAAATTAATTTTATAATTTAATTTCTTGTTTGGTGTAGATGATGATAAGGTCGATCAAGCTAGCCTTTTGGGGCCACGAAGCCAGAAGTATGCATAAGAATGGTCCAATCTTGAATGTATTCACTTTTCAATTGTTATAATTCGTAAAATGAAGACATGTTAGAATAATTGAACGATTGAAAAGCATAATCATGGTCTGTGATTAAAAATTTTGCGAGGGCTTTAACACAAAAAAACACAAATTTATCGTTTTTGAATGATTATTGCAGATTTTCAGTTAGCTTTTCTGATGACTCAAACTCAGAGTGTTTGACGACTTGTGATAGAATCATGGAACCGGAGGGAACAAGGGACGAGGAGCGAACCAAGGTTCAGGCCGGAACACAGAACCAAATGGCCGACTTAAGCGAAGTCGAGGTTCAGGACGGGGCGCAAGACCAAGGAGCCGATCTGAACGACGTTCTGGCCATACCAACTGGATCAATGACCAGGTCGCGTACCAAGAAACTCATGGGGGCCATCCAACGAGTTCTCACCGAGCTAAAAAGCCAAGGCCGAGCTGACGACCTAACACCCGCTCACAAAGTCATGACCGTTCTCATGTACTCTGGTCCGAACTGACATGGTTGGGGTGTTGTGTTAATACTCTTTTTTCTTACATTCGGTTTTGTCCCACTGGGTTTTCCGAATGAGGTTTTAACGAGGTTAATGCACACCTATCTCACGATCATGGTTTGATTCGCGGCCAAATATAACGATCAAGGAGTTCAAGAGTCTAGCGAAAGGATGCGAAGGGCCACCCGGAAGTTTGATCGCTATTCAACGTTTTCTTTATTTTCATTTAATGTTCTTTTAATTCTCTGTAAGACCGATGGTCTCCTCTAGCCTCTATATAAAGGCAACAATGTACTTGGATTTTTCATCACTTATCTTTTATAAAATTTCTCTTTGAGTTTTCTCTTTTGTTCTCTAAGAACTTGTCGATATTTTGGTGGTTAGCCATTGATCGATTTCCGGTTTATCAAGTAGTTTCATCCTGCTTGACGCAGCCTTCGATTCCGAAGTAAGAGAGAGAGTTGTAGTCGTATTTGGGGCTTAGGGAATTTTGGAACTTGTCTCACACCCTAACATCCGGTATCACAACCCCCTCAAACATTTTGTCCATCCCCTCGTTTTCAAACCTTTTTTTTTTAAAATTGGGCCTAAGGATTTTCGAGTCTTACTCACACCTTAGTATCTCTTTCACCGAAGCGGTCTAAATCCAAGGATCTATCAACCTCTACCGAGCTAAGTGTGTGACAATTCTAGGACGGTCTTCCATCAACTTGACGTGATCTTCAAAGGAATCGACCATTGGAGAGTTAAGTTACCATGCACAAGATAGCAACACACAAGTGATTGGAGTAGTTTTTTACTAAACAAAATTACGTTTAAACTATAAAGACTAATTAGTCAAGCAAATTGTAGAAATATCCTACGCATAAAGACAAAGTAGAGTCTGAAATAATTTCACATGACATGATCTTATGTCCATATATCCCATTATATGTATACATTAACAAGAGTCTAGATTTGAAGATAAAGACAACCGAAATGGTTATGAAATAGTAACATTTTGCATGTGGAGCCTATGAATTTAATTAAAACAAAAAACTCTTATAACCGATGATAGGAAGAAAAAAAAATTTTCTTAATAAGTTTATATATTTTCTACTTTGTGGAGCCTTAGTTATTACGTTGAAACACTATCGAAAGATGAAAAAAATTGGTCAGAATATTAACGTCAAATTGGGCAATAGACCCGTAAGCTGTCACACTACAGTTCACATTATTGTACTGCCTGTCTATTTCGATTGCATCTTTTTTTCTGTGCAGCATCGCATTCTCCTGCTCTTCTTTTTTTCATATTATTTCCCCATTCAAACTTTTCAATTCGACGCTAATATGTGGACTAAATAGTACACAACTCTCTATTTTTCCCCCATTTTATGTGTAGCTAAAACTTCAAGATACAACCAACTCTTCAAGTCTGGTATCAAAGTTATCTTATATAGTTATAAATTAATCAAGATTACCATGAACTTAACTTGTTTTTGCTACGTTTACAGGTTTGTAAGTAGGTTTTTGTTGACAACGGAAATGCATTAAAGTCCACATTAGTTGGAACTAGGTTCACAAAACATTGGACAGTGTAATAGATTTATAGTATAATAAAGAAATCACGTTTGGAATATGTTTATAAAAATTATGTGCGTTGGAATAGACAATACATAAGAGAAGTGGCAGAGGAACCTTAAGTTAACCACGTGACAGCAACGAGGAACGTTAATTTTAATTTTTGAGTGGGGCCTCTTTTGTGGTACACTCATTTATTTTTGGTCACCTTTTAATTTGCGAAACATACTTTTGAAATCAATGCGAATGGCCTTTTCCAACTCATTGTCCAATTTTAACTCTAAGAAATTAAGTAATTCTTTACCTATGGAATTTTTTTTTCTGTTGTTGCTTACTTATGCTTTAATATATGGGATTGTAGAATGCCGATCTTGAGCGAGAGGACCATAAGTGTTTCAAATTTAATATGCTTATTGATACTTAATTTGCTTACAAAGATTAGTGATCTAGGATGTAGCCGCAACCTTATTCTAGTGGTTTATTTATTACCTTTAATCATTACTAGTACTAGATGAATATTCGCATTAGTTTTTTTTTCCAACTATTTTAAATTTATATGTTTTTATATTTTTCTAAAATAGTATAATCATCATTTGTTATGTGTTAATATATTATTATAAATCAATCAATTTAAAATATAATATTAATAAAAAATTAAGATTTTATACAAAATATCCATCAATATTTTTGATTAATTATAACAAATTTTTTGTTTAATGTTTATATAAATATTATTGAAGAATCAATTAATTAAAAAACTTTTCATTTTCTTTGAATAATTTAAAATTTAATATTAAAATTTATTAATTAATTTTTTTAAAAAAGTATGACACATATTATCCTTATATCGATCGAAACTGATAATGTGACATTTATATTGAGAAATTTGACCTTCTTTTATATATAAATCTATAAGATATGTTTTTGATGTTAGATGGGTTTTTTTTTTTTTTTTCATTCTTGATGTTGATAGGTTTTGCAGAAATTGCAGAAATTTAAATGGGCCATAAGTAAAAGCGAGCGAATGATTTTCTCCTCTTTTTTAGGTTTTGGGTTTGAACAAAGGGCTTTCTAACTTTATGTGCCCATTTCGAACTAAAGAGTGTGCAAGACCAAAAATATAAATTACGAGGGTCCAAACGTGAATAAATAAAAATATAGTGGCCAATTTGTAAGAACGCAGAAGATATAATTTATAACATTTAAACCCATTTTCACTGTTTCAATAAGCTGCTGGATAAGCTTTTTCTTCTCCATTCTCACTTCCTCATCCGACGAAATCCTCCATTTCAATGGCAGCAGCATCAGCACTGTCATCTCTCTCTTCTCTCTCCCTACACAGCAGAACCTCCTCTCGCATCATCTCCTCGAAACCCATCGTCTCGTTCTCCACCTTCCTCAAGCGCTCCTCGACGCACACTCTCGTCAAGGCCTCCTCCTCCTCAGACCAAATCGAGACCTTCTTCTTCGAGGATGAAAACCCGGAGATAACAGCCAACGCCGTCTTCGACCCGCCTTCTGCTCCGGAGGGTTTCATCCCGCCGCCGTATTTCGACGAAGGAGCGGACGAGACGGAGGCTGAGATCGCTACGGCGTACGAGGAGCTGTACGGCCCGGCGTATAGCGGAGAGAGCTTGCTGGGAAAAGACGTTAATGTGATGGATTCGAAGCTCAAGAAGAGTGGGGGAGGTATTGGTAAGCCGAAGAAGGATAAGATCCGTGATGGGTTCGAGGAGAGAGTTGTGCAAGTTAGGAGAGTGACCAAGGTCGTTAAAGGAGGCAAGCAATTGAAATTCAGAGCGATTGTTGTTGTAGGAGACAAACAAGGGAATGTCGGTGTTGGTTGTGCTAAGGCCAAGGAAGTTGTCGCTGCTGTTCAGAAATCCGCCATTGATGCTAGGCGTAACATTGTTCAAGTCCCTATGACTAAGTATCTCACTTTCCCCCACAGGTAAAGTTTTGATTTTTGATTCAGAAAGATTCGGTTTTTGGTTGATCAAATGTCTCTATAGGCAATGAAAACTAAGATTTTGGGGTTTTGTGTTCTGAGCATTGTGGAATTTCGCAATCCATAGTTGTGTTGGATGTGTGTTTATAATGTTTGAGCATTGGTGTTATGGGACTTGTTCCTCAAAATTCTAGTCTTATGAAACTGATATTCGCTTTGTGCACAAAGATTTCGTGAATAAGAAGATCTGTAGGCAAATGAGTTAAGCTTCGGAAGCAATTGTGTGTGTGTATATGTATACGTTTTGGTTAAGTTATAATTTTATTTAGAAGAGTCAGTTTTGGTTGATCAAATGTCTCCATAGGCAACTTGGATTTTAGGATTTTTTGTGCTTAGCATTGTGGATGTTGGATGTGATGGTTTGTAATGTTTGAGCAATTAGTGTTATGGGACTTGTTACTCAGAATTCGAGTCTTATGAAACTGATATTCGTTTTGTGCAAAAACGTTTTGAAGAATCGGTTGGTAAATAAGAAGATCTCTATGCAAATGTGTTGAGCTTTGGAAGCAATTGGGGAGGGTCTTTGTGTGTGTGTGTGTACGCTTTTGGTAATGTTTTAGAGGGTTTTGTTAGGTTTTTAAGCGAGTGGGTTTCTTGTTTATAGATCAGAGGGAGATTACGGAGCAGCCAAGGTGATGCTTAGACCAGCTTCACCAGGTACTGGTGTGATTGCTGGAGGAGCGGTTAGGATCGTGCTAGAGATGGCAGGAGTTGAGAACGCGTTGGGGAAACAGCTCGGAAGCAACAATGCTCTCAACAACGCAAGAGCCACTCTTGCAGCAGTGCAACAGATGAGACAGTTCCGCGATGTTGCTCTTGAGCGTGGTATCCCCATGGAAGAACTCTGGAAGTGAAGAAACAAAACTCATCTCTTCCTTTTTTTTTTAACATTTTCACCCTCTTTTCTTTCTTTCCAATGTCGAAAAGAGATTCTTGTATAATCAAGAGGTGTGCTTGTAATTCATGAGAACAAAAGAAAAATGTTTATTTTGAAAATAGCAATCCTTTCTTCTCCCACAAAAGATCATTCATTCAGAAGAACACACAGGAATTCTTATTACAGACTAGCTATGGGGCTAATAATATGGTTCAAGTCGAAAAAGCTCCCCAAAGAGTGGCATCTTCAGAGTCGGCGACTTGGAAAGTGTAATGCTGAATCTGAAATTGTTTTCTAAACACTTGGAAGAACAGATATACTTGCCTGAGATATGTATGATACCTGACGTGTCTTGGCAACGGCAAAAGCACACACGACAATAAGGTCGAGATGCAGAGACATTAGGAACAACTTCGACTTCGTAATGTGATATGGCGATATACCCTGGTCTCCAGAATGTGAATTCTCCAATCACGCAATCGATATGAAGCGTGGAGCTACAATCTTCACATGTATAGAATCTTGTACTCGGGTTAACTTCTGTCTCGCAAGCCTCGCACCAATATTCCTTACTCGTCTTCTCTCCAAAGCAGACAGAGAGGAAATGTGTGTCGCATTTGTGCTTTACCTTATTAGGCAGAGTGGCGCAGTCAAATCCCAAGGAGAAGTCACAGTCAACGCAAGTCAACACAGTTGATGCAGTCTCATTACAAGCACCACAAAGCTTGGATTCTGGTGAGGTGTAGAACAAACGATGCTGAGGATGACTTTCATGGATAAACGGCTCTCTGATTGAACAACATCGTACATCTATCTCGACATTGCAATCAAGACATACATACTTGAAACCACTGCAGAGACGCTGACACACAGTACAATAGAATAAGTTATAACCATACTCATCAGTTTGACTAGTGTTTGGTCGTAGAGTAAGAGTGTGCTTGTGTAGCTCATGCCTTAACTTCCGGGGAAGCTCAGAGCAGGTCTTGTGAAGAACATAAGCACAACTCGAACATTTGTAATATGGATCTAAGTAGATAGGTAGAGCACAAGCACTGCATTGGACACTCTCATGACAAACAATCCCACCTTCTTCGAGTTTGAGAAAGTGTTCATGACTGAAATGCTTAATCACTTTGTCATGTACCACTTGGAACGGCTCTTCGATATCTTCTTCTTCTTCAGGTATCCCCTCGAGTTCTCTTCTATCCCACACATCATCTCTTGTTGCACATCTCAAATGGATGACATAATCAGGGCATTGTGAGCAGCGGTATCCTCCATACCTCCAATCTAACTCAAGACGACAAACTCCACAAGCGAATTCCCCAGGGCCAATGAAGTAGCTTCGAAAAAGCCTGTGCTTGTGGCGTGTGAGGTAAATCTCACGCGGTAAGAAAACGCAGTCTCTATGGATCATGAAATTGCATTGATGACACAAGTAAGGAGCTCCATGTACGTCTTTACCACAAGCACAAGGGAAAGAGACACGTTTGGCCAACAAGTGAAGCCTATGCTCATGGGCTTTGGGGTAGTCAATGCTTGGAATCTCGTGTTTCCTCGCGCAAGCCGTGTCTAAACTAAAGTTGCAAGTGGAACAGTGATAAACCAAAAGCCGAAGGGTTTCTCCACACAAGCGACAATTTCCATCGCTATAACCAGGTGGTCCGCAGGTACGGAGCTTGAGAGGATGTGAATGTGAAGGGTGGTTGATCTCGGAGTGAGACTCAGCACATTCCTTGTGGACATAGAATTTGCACTGAGGGCAATAATAGCCTTGTGTTTCTCCCTTCTTGATTTCAGAGCAACCAAAGCAATCAAATGGAAACACTGAAGGTTGTAAGAAATGACGGTGAATAGGAAATTTCTTTGGTTTTGAAGCTCCATGACTTGGCTTAAAGATCCGCCAGATGTTAACCATATCAATTGTGAGACAATGGTTAGTTTTTTGATAGTGAGGAGAATGTGAAAGAAGTTTGGCCAGAAACTGCTAGTTTTTGATAATAATGATTTGATATCAATAATTGAGACCATCGGACAAGAGTTATTTAATTTGACCAACGACCCCCGCACTATCTTATAGTATTAAATAGTTTGATATACCTGAGGCTATCTGACAAAAGTTATTTAAATTCATCAACACATGTGCGCTTTTAATGACTTAACTCAAACCTAACATCACTGTAAAAGGCAGATAGAGAATTAGCTAACTAGTGGTGGATCCTGCTAAAATTAATGTAATTAATCTTTCATTTGAAACTGTAACATAGGAGACAATACGGGTCATGTCCACAATATTCAAAGTCTTGAAATACTACTTCAGAAAAGAGTTTTTTCTGCTATTTTTGGGAAAATAAATCCGGCTGATCAAAGTAAAAAAGGGTTTCTGTAAGCGCCAAGTGAGAAAGCCGTTAAACTTTCACTCATCAGGTGGGAAGTCCTCATCAGATGCTTCGTTCTCCAGAAAAGAGCCGAGAGTTTTCCTCAGTATGCTGAAAGTTTTGTCATCCTAAACCCCAGAGAATTCGCAGTTCGTCATATAACAATATTAAAAGAGATAGTATGTATATGAGACTATGAGTATATCTATAAAAGGCTATTCTTTACCCTTTTCTTTTTCTTCAGCGACTCTTCCAATTGAGCAAGCTTTTCTGTGCAGAACCTCTCCTGTTCCGATATCATTGTCTTCTCCTTCTTCCCTACAAGATATTTACAGTTGAAAGTGAGTAAGTGTTGCCAGTTTATATCAATGGTCTCATTATAAAATGGTTGGCTTACTTAGTTGTTCATATCGCATATAGAGCCTTTCCTTGTCCTCCTCAAACTTGGAAATAGTGTCTGTAGAAATACATGTTCAGTTTCAGTAATATCTCACTTAGCTAATGAAATAAAAAACTTTGTGGTATACGTTTTTGACATCCAACACTAACTGACCTTATGAGTAAGAGATGACAAAACTAGAGGGCAGTAGAATGAATACCTTTCAAACTCTGTAGATAATCAGCTTTCTCTTTCATGAATTTGTGGTGAAGTTCCTCAAACTTGGCAGATTCGTCCTTCAAAATATTCTCACACTGAAAATATGGATGAGGTCAGTCAGCTCCTTGCACCTTTCTAATGGCTCAAAAAAGTTATAATATCATCTTGGGATCTTTGTTCAAACCTCCTTTGAACTCTTTGAAAGTGCTTTGCTAAAGTTTTGTCTGCAAATTGTTATTCAAAGACAGATATAATCAGCACGCTTCCATTTATATCTTATCTTGTAAACCAACATCCACAAAGCATGAAAGATCAGACATCCATCCTCAGAACATAGCCTTACCTTTCTTTCTCAAGTTTTGACTTCAACTCGTCGATCTTTGACTTTACCTCAGTGGACACACTGCCAGAAAGATACGCAAGGATTGAAGCAAGATTCAGCTATCAAATTTGCGACACTGATTAAAGCAAGATTCAGCTATCAAATTAGCGACACTGATTAAAGCAAGATTCAGCTATCACACTAACGACACTTAGAGAGCATTAGAACCATGGAGTTTATGTCATCGTCTAGTGGAGAAAACAGATTATGCCCATCAAGAGAAAGAATGCTCACACTCGGATGTTGTTTTTGTCTTCTAGAACAATAAATGAAATAAATCATACCACTAAATCATACCACTAGATACCAAACTCATGATAGAAATCAACCGAATCCTACAGAGTTGATGAACAGAAAACAGAATATCTAAAATGTTCTCTATCTGTGAATCAAAAGAGCTTGATATCTATCAATCAACCATTGGCTTTCTAGTTTAAGAGATACAAGATAATACCACAATCTCTTTCACAACAGATCAACCGATAACAAATGCTAGAAACAAATGATCGAACACCTAACCTTCATCTGGCTATATCTAGCTGATAAAATTTGCTTGCGGTACAAAATCCCGAGAATATCATGTACCAACGATAACAAGTACAAGCAACGATCGTAATTAGCACAATCTGCTCCAATAACGATTAAGATGCATATGATCGCAAAGCGATTCAAAACTCAGGATATCGACATGACTATCTCGATGACAGAAACTTGGGGATTAGTACTATAGTAGATAAAAAATAAGGTCGCGATATCGAACTCTGATTCTTCTAAATACACCATAACCTGAGATGGAACTTGTTACGAAAGAGAGAAATCACCTGGAGATGCTTTCTTCCTTCTTTTTCCGGCCATCCTCGTCCGCTTTCTCTCTGATTTGCTTCAACGCCGACATGATGCCTTTGAGATCGCTGCACGATCCACATGGAAATCATAATCGCGAGTCACAATTTAGCCAAAAAGCCGAAGAAACGAAGAAGAAGACGTAAGAAAGAAGAAAAAACGGACCTAGAAACATCGAGATCCAAATCGTCCTGGAGTTTTGCGTTCGGTGTTTGCTTCTTGAGCGATTGAGGCTCTGGCCGTGTTCTCTTGGTGCTCTTTCTCGTAGACGACATTGCAGATGAAAGACGAGAGAGACGATGAAACGAAATCAAAAGCGCGGCTAGATCTGCTCTCTCTCGTGAAAATTTGAATTGATTTTGAATTTTGAAATTCTGTTTCTTTTTTGGGCTTTGCCTGCTCGGTTATATAGAGGATTTTTTCCGTGGTAGCTGATCAGTGTGACACCGTACTCTCAGTACGTTTTTTTCTTTCTTCAAATAATGGGTATGGCTAACAAATTTACTTTACGAATATTGTCTTCATGCATCAAATTCTCAAGATTATTTTTGGGTGATAAAATCACTGTTACTTTTACCGCTCAATTTATAATTTTCAAAATTATGTTTGGGTAACAAAATCACTGTAAACTGGTTAAGTGAAATATTATATTTTTTGGATAGCCAAACGAGTAAGCATTTCGAATTATGTATGTGAGACTAAAAAAAGATTATGTATGAAAACTTCCCTCAACTCAAATCCATATCTATATCATATGAGATTAGTTGTAGAAATTGAAATCAGTGGACTTCCATTAGACAAAAAAAAAAACTAAAATAAACATACCTAAACAGTCTTGTTTCAGAAATTGATTAGTATTGACGAAAAAAGAGTTTAATGTAAAGAAGTATACATTAAAATATCGACAAACTGTGGTAAAAATCGACTGATTTGGTAGGTCGACTGTTCTTTTTTTTTTGTTCAAATAGGTCGACTGTTCATGTTGGTATATAGAGAGGGTAAAAATGAGTACTGGTCCGATACAGTACAGGTAATTAATCCGAATATCTAAAATCGTCACCCTAAGTTTAATATAGCCATATAGGACTATAGGAGGATAACTTCGGGTAATTGTTCGAATTCGGATAACTTAAAATAGTATACAAACTTTCCAACAAAATATGTGTATGACATGTTGATCTCATGGTTATCTTGGGATCATCAAGGTGTGAACTTCCACCCCTATTTAATGGTGTAGTTTAGCGTGTATCTAGCTCTCGTCGTTCGGATCCGAAAGCTGTTGTGCTTATCGGCTCGAGCTCGTAGGTACGAGCACTGACCCATGCTAAAATGAATACCCATAAGCCACTTGCAACAAGCACAATATGGCCGAATTTGCTTACATTTTTTTTTCTTATTTATCCTTTTTTCTTAATCGCAAAATCTAAATACTCATCACATGTGGTTCGACACCTTAATAGTACATGAGACATTACCGTACATTTGCGAAATTAAGAATTTTATTAGTATTAAATGATCTCTACATAAAATAGCTAGCTCTATCAAGAACCTCCAAACAAATTGCACTTATAATCTGCAAAGGAATTGTATAGCTTACTTGATCAAATTAAACAAAAGGAATTGTATATAGTTTAGGAATTTTGAATCTCACACATGACGTGAAAATAATAATCTTATAATACACAACTAGAACAAGAAACTTTGGACTATATAACATCACTTAAAAAAAAAAACATTTCCGTGATTCAAGAATCACTGAGGAATCGTTTGGCCAATTTTATTAAAATCTAATTAACATCGTTTTTTATATTTTCTTCATCTAAGAATAATTATATAAGCATCGGTTTGCTAGTTTTATTAAACTCTACTAATGGATTGCATCTACATGGAAAATCAAATAAGAAGAAGCGTGCATATTAATTTTAATCTTTCAATGTGTAATGTGTTGAAGCCGCACCAGGCGCATCTTGTTGCCATGCACATGTTATGGACCATATATAAACATGGAACGTGAATGAAAACTCAGCATTAAGATTAATATTAGTATTAATATAATATATCGCAAAATTTTGCATTGAAGCTTAAAAGTAACACTGTGTAGTCAATCAAGAATTTTATTTTAAGTTCATGCATAACTTTTACATCAAATATTTTATAGATTTACCAGTTCAATAAAATATAAAACTATATATCGATTCTTTTATAGCAACTCCCGTAAAATGTACGGACTATAAGAAATCATTACACCTGTATATGACTCAAAGTCTTTTAAATCTCCCTTAAAATTATCGTCAGACTCTCAAATCATTAAATTTGTATATACTTGATGATTCACCCGGACGTGAGTTTAGGGAAAACGTCATACCATGAAAAATACCGGTTATATAATTTGTAAAATATATAAAGAAAATTATTATTTAAAAATAGAATTAACATATCGTAAAAGCCTTAATAAAAAATCGTTTTTATGGAAAAAAAAATTATACAGCAGAAGAGACAAAGCATTATCATTTTTGGGAGTGTCGAAATAATTATCGATGTTTAGCGGATCGTCTAGTTCAGCCTCAGCCACCCAGTTTATAGTAAATGGTCACCAGAATGTTGAAATCGTAAGGGTTGACTTGGTAATTTTGTTATAATAAATCTCGCATTCTTGCTTAAAATATTGAAACCTGATAGGAGATTTAAATCTAAATCTTTAACGAGACATCGGAAACTTCTCGACCACCTCACAAGACGGACACACGTGCTGCTGTGCTAGCTATCACAGTCTACGCATAAACCCTTAAAATGAAAGATATATATAATCACGACATATACAAGATTGTGATAGTTTATTGAGGAGTTCATACAATTTTACATATTGCAACTACAATAGCTCCTTTCAAGTGTGAACGGAACCAAATACATAATGTACGTAACATTTGAAATGACGTTATTAGCACAAAACTCAATTGCTCAAAAATATATGTAAATTTATTGGTTGACAAAAAAAAAGTTATTTACGGGAAATATATTGAAAATTTTGACTTCTAATCTAGCAGTGAAATATTTGGGAAAAGACCACCCTACTGACTTCATATCGAGAACATGTATTCTATAGAATAACATTAATATAAACTACTAAACTACATATATTAGTCATAATGTCAAAGTTACGCTTATGATTTGTAACATTAAAGACATGTATTATTATATAAACATTTCCTATAATTAATTCATTTCATCACAAAATTGAAGCCTGAAATCTCCTATAAATAGGCCCTCTCACATCAACCCAAAACTCACACACAAACAAAAACAATAGACTAAAGATGGGTTTCATTGCTAAGAGTGTTTTGCTAACTCTCTTAGCACTTTGCTGCTTCACTTCCTCTGTTTTGACTACAGCTCTACCTCCTCTCAAATCTCCGATCAAACTACCAACACTCCCACCGGCCAAATCTCCGATCAAGCTACCAACTTTCCCACCGGCCAAAGCTCCGATCAAGCTACCAACTTTCCCACCGGCCAAAGCTCCCATCAAACTACCAACTTACCCACCAGCCAAAGCTCCAATCAAACTACCAACATTCCCACCAACCAAAGCTCCGATCAAGCTACCAACTTTCCCACCAGCCAAAGCTCCGATTAAGCTACCAACATTCCCACCAGCCAAAGCTCCGATCAAGCTGCCAACTTTCCCACCAGCCAAAGCTCCGATCAAGCCTCCGGTTCTCCCACCGCTTTCCCCTCCTAAGTTCATGAGAACTCTAGTGGCTGTGCGGGGTATGGTCTACTGCAAAGCATGCAAATACGCCGGTGTAAACAACCTCCAAGGCGCCAAACCCGTTAAAGGTATTATATTATATCTACGCTAATGATTGATATGAGAAGTCCATAGTATTCTAACCTGTGGTATATATGTGAAAAGTCCACACTTCACTTTCCATACTTACGTTTTAGAGGCATGCATCTATATACATAAATACACATTCTCATTAGCAAATGTTGAAAACCTTTTTTTTGAACTGTACCACGCGCGGGAGATTAGCTTAGGCGGTCAGAAGAGCGGTATAATTCATGTCCCTTCAAGGAAAACAAAAATCGACAAACATGAAAAAAAACTAATAAAGAAAATAAACCAGTTAAAATTTGTTTGATTAATAAATGGTTTTTTCTAACAGAATCCTATTACAAGAACTTGTCATTTCCCCCCTTTATTTTTTCCATATTGTCAACTTTAGCTCAAATATAAATAGAACTTGTTCAAGTCATGTCCTGCCCCCAAGAAAATTTACCCATGACAAATCCAAACAAGTACTATATGAAGTGTTCATACTTCTTGATAGGTTTTTGTTTTTTTGGTTAAAACGAGCTATTGCATTTGATTTCTTTTCTTCCCTATATAATAACAAATCTATACAAATGACAAGTATATTACTTTTATGTTGTTTGTGTTGTTGCCTTGTTGGGGATGCAGGTGCGGTGGTGAGACTTCTGTGCAAGAACAAGAAGAACGTGATATCGGAGACGAAGACGGACAAGAACGGATACTTCTTAATCTACGCCCCCAAGACGGTGACCAACTACGGAATCAAAGGTTGCCGAGCTTACCTAGTTAAGTCGCCAAACTCCAAATGCAGCAAAGTGTCGAAGCTCCACGGTGGATATATGGGCTCCGTTCTAAAGCCGGTCGTGAAACCGGAAAATTCCACGGTCATCGTCAACAAGCTCACGTACGGTCTTTTCAACGTTGGTCCATTCGCATTCGAGCCTGTCTGCCCCAAATGAGATGGTTTTAATACTAGCTAGTAATTAAACTTTGATTATGCGGAAAAAAAAAAACTTTGATTATGCGGATTCAACACAGTTTTAATGATTGTGTTGAATGTATCCAAGTTTGGGTTTCTTTATATTTATGGGCTTTTGTGTTAGTGTGTCTTTCCAATATTTTTTCTTTGAATAAATACGGTAACGTTTACATAATAGCTTGTCTTTTTTTTTCTTCTTAGGGCGTGTTTGCTGTTTTGTCATTTGCATCTAGATGATCCATTTAAATGATTCATTTGGATGAGTCATCTGAATGATGCACATAACAAATGAACAAACAAACATTTAAATAGGAAATTGACAAATGAGCAATGAAAATGAGATTTTACGTTTTTGGCGAGAAAATGAGATTTTACGTTTTAACGGAAAACAAGATTTTATGTTTTCTACGAAAAAATAAAATTTTATGTTTTTTGACGGAAAAACAAAATTTTACATTTTTTGACGAAAAAACGAGAAAAAACGAAATTTTACGTTTTTAACAAAAAAACATGATTTTACGTTTTGACGGGAAAACAAGATTCGTTTTTGAAGGGAAATTAAAATTATAAGTTTTTAACGGGAAAACAAGATTTTACGTTTTTAACGGGAAAACGAGGTTTTATGTTTTTTAACGAGAAAACGAGATTTTATATTTTTTTACCAAAAAACGAGATTTTACGTTTTTAACGAGAAAACAAATTTTACGTTTTTAACGGGAAAACGAGATTTTATGTTTTTAACGGAAAAACGAAAATTTACGTTTTTAATGGGAAAACAAGATTTTACGTTTTTAACGGGAAAACAAGATTTTATGTTTTTTGACAGAAAAACGAGATTTTATGTTTTTAACGGAAAAACGAGATTTTAAATTTTTAACAGAAAAACGATATTTTACGTTTTTGACGGGAAAATGAGATTTTACGTTTTTGACGGGAAAACGAGATTTTACGTTTTTGACGAAAGCGAGATTTTACTTTTTAACGTTAAAACGAGATTTTACGTTTTTAATGAGAAAACGAGATTTTATGTTTTTAACGAAAAAATGAGATTTTACGTTTTTTACGGGGAAACGAAAATTTTATGTTGTTGACGGGGAAACGAGATTTTACGTTTTTTGACGGAAAAACAAAATTTTAGGTTTTTGACGAGAAAACGAGATTTTATGTTTTTTTACAGTAAAACCAGATTTTACGTTTTTGATGGGAAAACGAGATTTTATGTTTTTTGACGGGAAAACGAAATTTTATGTTTTTGACGGGAATACGAGATTTTGCGTTTTTTACGGTAAAACGAGATTGTACGTTTTTGACGGGAAAACAAGATTTTACGTTTTTTATGAAAAAACGAGATTTTACATGTTTTATCGAGAAAATGCGATTTTTTTGACTGAGTCATGTTCATCCAAATACTTCAAATTGAATCAGTTGGATGAGTTTCAAATTTCTTCGTAAATTTATAAGTCATCCAAATGATCCATCTAGATGTATCATCTAGATGAGTCATTTTACGTAATTAAACAAATCATTTGACTGATTCATCTTTATGATCCATCCAAATGAGCAAACAGGCCTTTACATATCTTTGTGAGAGTTTGACTATATATCGTTTGAGGCTCCGATGTTGTCGACAGAATAAGCCAAACGGAATGAACACAGTTGCTGATAGAATTGTAAGGGAAATTTGATATGTACCAAGAGCCATTTGAAGTCGTTACTAAGCTCAAGGTGACAATGATAATTTGCATATACCAGGATTTGAAGTCGTTTACTCGTAATAAAAAAAAAAAAAAAAAAAAAAAGAAGTCGTTTACTAAGCTCAATGTCAAAATGGTGATTTTGGCAATCATCATTTGAACGACTGAGGAAACATCATAGGAGACTCTATTGACTAGGCGACCACGCCTCATGCGGTGATTCACCTCAGCAACGTATCAAACAAACTTTTCTCAAATTTAATTTCTATTCTTCTCCTTTTAAATCTGAAGGCATATACTTTCTTACAGTATATATGTAAAATAGAAGAAAAAGTATCTGAACAATCACTACAATATCTTAACTATGAAATATATTGGATTCTTTCGTATAAAACCTTTTAAAGACATTTTATATATAGAGAAAAAAGTAAATATGGTTTAGGTTGGAAAAAAGTAAATATTTACTAACCGTCATATCTGTACTTTTGTTATAATTGTTTGAAAATACACCATAATATCATACCCAAAAAAAAAACAATACACCAAAATATACAGCTGTCAATTTAAGATCTCACATGATAGGTTTATCTTTAATTGGAACAAAATGAATTAAAATTTATTAGTTGGTGAAATAAAAACATTTTTTTTTCATTTTTATATTTTGGTTTGAAACACTACAAAGACAGCAATTAAAATAACAAATATCAACGATTGGATCTCATTGGATTTGGTTTATAATTATATATATTTGACATTGATGACATCATATATACACTTTAAAACCATATTTATTCTTAAGATCTCATTGGATTTTATTTATATATATATATCATATATATAGATATTTGATTCTACCATTTCCCTTGTGTTCCTTCTTGATCTATGAGAGAGATGGCTACCAAAGTTTCGGCTGATGAAGAGAATCAGCCATCACTGATGACGTCACTTCCCGAAGAAATCATCATGGACTGCGTAGCACGTGTACCGAGATCCTACTATCCCCTTCTCTCCCTCGTCTCTAAGCACTTCAAGTCTCTCGTTACATCGCCTGAGCTATATGTGAGACGAAGATCTCTTCTAAGCCGCGACGACGAATACAGTCTCTACGTTGCCATCTCTAAGAACCAAACATCTTGTATCCACTGGTACACTCTTAGCCGAAAACCCAACAACAGTCTTTGGTTAGTCCCTATCCCTTCACTTCCTCCTATGCCTTTACATGGAAGCTACGTGGTCGTAGGTTCGAGTATATATGTCATGGGTGGATTTTACCATTGGGGTTTTATCACGCCGTGTGTGTCACGTATTGATTGTCGGTCTCACACGGTGCAACATCTCCCTAGAATGCCAAAGGCTGTTGCTGGTCCTGTTTCCGAACTCGTAGATGGGAAGATATATGTTATTGGAGGGTCAGATACTCGTTCCCGGGAGATGAAATCATCGTCTCAAAGGATCATGGTGTTTGATACAGAAGCAGAAACGTGGAACGTTACGAAGAAGAGGATGAACTGGGAGGTGAAACAGAGGTTGTTTAGTAGTGTGGAGATGTCTGGTAATATTTACATGAGAGGTCATAAGAATAGCTATGTTTATGAGCCAAAGGGAGATAAATGGGAGGAGGACAGGATTCTGCATTCTAAGGAGTGGTCTAACTCATGCGTTATAGACGATGTTTTGTACTATTATGATGTTGATAAGAATTGTATAAGGACGTATGATCCAAAGGAAAGGGCTTGGGGAGTGGTGAAGAGTGTGGAATTAGGAGGATTTGAGGATGGTTCGTGGTCGTACACAGCGAGTTGCGGTAGAAATTTGGTTGTGTTTTTCCATAAAGAAATAGTATTGACGGAGACAACAGAAATTTGGTGTGCAGAGATTGTGGTGGAAAGGCGTCAAGGAGGAGAGATTTGGGGAAAAGTTGATTGGTGTGATGTTGTGCTTGATGGGAAATCTCACATTATGAAATGTCTAGTTGTTAAAATTTGATGTGTGAAACATGTAATGGTGGTTTAATGGTCAACATCGTCTTGTGGTTCTATGTTAATAAATGGTTGATTTCTGCTGCATACAATTTTTTTTTTATGTTTGGCTACTCCGGAATTCTCACATAGCGGAAACAAATGCATTATCTGGAAATTAGTTTGGATCTCAACCTAAAAGATTTTGATTATCATAAAACAAACATTGATGTTTGGCTTTGTTGTGTTATTAGCTAGTGTTTCAAAACTTTTTATGTTATATTGGTATAAGTTGTTGATATAGTTATGAACATATTGCAATTTTCCTTATACTCTAGTATCAATTATGAGTCAAAGAACACAAAGTTCTTTGATCCGGCTATCAAAATATATACATACGCTATGGTCACGCATGCATAAATGTCAAAAGAGTTAACAGGTCGTTCATGTGAATCAAACACGGCTTGGTAGTCCACTGTCCACAACATCAAGAAAAAGAACAATGCCCCTGTAGAGATAGTAGTCGAGTATCAAAGATGTCATTGAACAATAGAATGACCACGATTGGAATCGACAAGGAGCTAAGGCAACCAAAATTAAAGTGGTTGCATAAAAACCATCTCAAAGCAAGAGGTAAAACTCCCCCAAGCAAACTAGAAAATGCATTTACATGTAGAACAAGACTTTGGAAAACAAGATAAAAAATAAGACATACTTTCGCCCACTCCTAGATTCCCAACATGTCTAGAGATCTAAAACTTAATTTAGAGCTTGACTTCTTAGATTTTTTTTTTTTTTTTTTTTGATAATCTTACACATCTAAATGCTGTTTAGATCCAAAGACTAATCCCATAAAACTTTGTATCTGGGTACACGTTTGAAAATATTCTAAATTTAAAGTGTGGTTAGATGACTAAAAGAACTCGAAATCCAAGAATCTTTCATTTGAAAGTTACCCCAAAGCAAAGAAAAAAAAAAAACCTTAAGCCCAGTTCAATTTGCTAAAGCCCAAACAGATGATTCGGCCTTGTGTCACTATAAGTAAATAAGTTGCACCTCTATCATATCATCTGCTAATCGATTTATGGGAAGTTCTACAAATTTTATCCACACACCAAGATGCACTTATCTTAACAAGATTGTGTGTATCTACCGTGTGTTGACTTGTAATCACAAATATAGATCTGTTGTTAGATTACAAATTTTTCTTGAAAAGGGATAATGATTTATGGGATTAATACAGTTTTTGGAAAATAGTAGCATTTATTGCAAGTCCAACAAAATCGTCACGAGAATGGAAAGAACTGTTTGAAAAAGTCAGCAAGTCCACACTACACTCCATAAATAACCCATTTGCCAAAATCAAATAGTTTTGACGGCGCCGCGTGCACATCACTTTCAATTTACGGCGCGTGACAGCATACAAATACTCTCTGTCAACAGAAATTTATTCATACCAAAACAGGCTCCGAACCAAACTCCCCAGTCAATTAAATCAATTTTGAAAAATAGTAATGACATAATTTTAATAGATCTATTCAAGTCAAATGTATTTTTTTTTGTTTGTCGAATTCAAGTCAAAAGTATTTATTATAAGATTTATTTGTTTAGATAAAAAACAATCGTAGAAAAAAAAAATCAGAGTTTCAATTGCTTTTAAATTATAAATATATATATCCCTCCAACCAATACAAACACGAAACCTCTCTTTCTCAATGAGTGGTTCAATGGAGAAGTCACCGAGAAACAGAGACAAAGCACACAAATTGCTTCCTTCACCAACCACCAGCTGCAGAATCTGCATCAGCAACACCACTCCGACCCGACCCGTTACCCCCAGATCCGAATCCACCAACCCGTACCCGACTACTATCGTCCAGACCGATGCCGCCTCTTTCAAGCAAGTCGTCCAGATGCTAACAGGATCCTCCCAGAAGCCCAATTATCCAAACCCGACCCACCAACCCGACCCGAGATCTTCCTCTCACTCAATCCCTCCAATCAAAGCCGTTCCCAACAAGAAGCAATCTTTCCGCCTCAACGAACGCCGCAATTCCATGAAGCATCTGAAGATCCACCCGGTTTTTAACCCGATTCATTCCGGGTTACCCGAGAGACTCTCCCCTAGCATCCTCGATCTCTCATCTCTGGTCTTAAGCCCTGACACTCCTCTCATTCATGACCCGTTTTATCGAACCGGGTCTTCGAATCGGAGCCCGAGCAATCCCGGGTTCGGATATCGGGATCCGATTTTGAACTCCGACGCCGAAGAGAGAGCGATTAGAGAGAAAGGGTTTTACTTGCACCCGTCACCGTCGACGACTCCGAGGGAATCGGAGCCCCGGCTTCTCTCTCTCTTCCCGTTGACTTCTCCTCGGGTTTCAGATTCTCCCGCTGACTCATCTACCTAATTTTTCGCTTAGCTAAATTTTTACATTTTTGTAAGTTTATCTTAGATATAAGGATTATTACTAATTCTTATAAAACTTGTAATGCTTCGACTTCTGCGAATGCACTATATCCTTACTCATCGCTCCATCTTTTTATAAAATATCTATGTACTATGTTTGTTTTTTCAGGTTTTATTTAGTTACGGCGTAAATTTTTTTTTTTTTTTTTATATGCTCGTCTTGTTGCGAATATACATATTACATAACATGGTAGGCACTTTTTGTTCCGGGGATGGTTCATTGAGACTCAAGAGAGAAATCTTCCCAACTAAAGTCTCCATGTATTATGCACATTGATTGGTCGATTCTTCAAAATGAATATCATCTCCAACACTTTCAGTTGTGGTCAATTTTTTTTGTTTGTTATACTTTTTATGTTATAAATGCATGCATTAGTTTTATTTGTTGAAAATTCATTTTATCGCATTTTTGTTCCGTATGCGTAAAACAATCTTTTATTTGGCGTCGCCATTCTATGTCTAACTTAGATTTAGCTGTCAAAGAGTAAGACCCGTTGAATAGGAAAGAAATCTTTGACTACTATATTTTTGTTTAGTTTTTTCTTTTCTTGACCATCCATCACATACAAGTTTAATACTTTTCGTAAATAGTTATTTGAGTAAGAGACAAAAGCACTTATTAGTGTTAGTGTATTGATATGTCTTTCATTAGAGTCTTTTTTATATCGGTATATTTAGTAAAGACCGATTATCTGCTCTCTTTGGTTTATGGTTACTGATTAGCCTTGGCCATGTATGTATATAATCCAACCTACATTGTAATTTTTAACTAATCAATGAGAATAATTATTCATTCATATGGTCAGGTAAATATATGTAATTAATCTTCAACCTCGGTTTATGGAATTTCTCGCCAAAAAAATCTTAGTTTCTCTATTTATCTTTGGCTCTTCTTCGTTTCCATGTGCCAATTTAGTCTTGCATTGCATTTTTCTATCGTCTTTGAGTTGAATTTGCTTTCAAACGGAAAAACGAAAATGCAAGTCAAAGTACGAACCGTACCTCTACGCTAGATTCGCCGGAATCTAGTTCTCCGACGTCTCTAAAGACTCGCGACAGATTATCTCGTTTCTTCTGCCTCGCGTTAGTTCAGACGTTTATGATCCGATAATACAATTTTGACGTATGTTTAAAGAGACAATGCAAACGTCGTCAACAATTCCACTTTTTACGTCCATTAATTTCCTCCCGCATTTATATATACATATATATATATATATTTAACATATATCACAAGGTATAGAAACAACACTTAATAATAGACATAATTTAACGAAACACAACAATTTGTCGAGGAATATAAAAGAACAACAGATGAAATGAACGTATATGCATCATGATTATTATAAATAAAAGGAAAAAGGAAAATTAAAAGTAATTAAGAGAAAAAAAAGGAGGCAATATCAAGATTAAAAATGGTCAAGAACCGTACGTAGAAGAAACTGGTGATCTCTTTCTCTCTCTCTCTTTTTTTTTTTTTTTTTTTTTTTGCATTCGCTTCTTCAATCATATTGCTCTTGAAATTAAGAAGCATGCCTGTAGCAATGTGTGATGACGCTGCAGCCACGTCTGTAAGGGTTAGCCCTTTTCCTCTTCTTGCAATCGTAGTAAGACCGGCCACGTCTGCTGCACGGAACATTGTTCTTCTTGAGCGCACCGTAACTGATGTAGCTGCGCCTTGCGGCTAGTTGGCGCCGGTTGGTTTCAGAATCCATCAAGGACTCAAGCCCATCATCATCTCCGATGCAACCTTGGCCATTGACACAAGATTTGGTCAGGGTCCATGTGGCATTGGCTGACTCGGCGACGACGGCCAGGGTCAAGAGGCCAAGGATCAACAAGAACTTGATACCCATTTGGTTTTTTTTGTCGTTGTGTAATGATGAGACTTAAATGTTTTTTTTTGTTTGGTTATAGAGCTATAATGGTGGATTCTTCTACGCCCTTCCTTGTGAAAGGAGGGAGAAATAGAAGTGATATTGCAGAAGAACAAATGAGGGATGCTTTTGTTGGAGATAAAAAAAGGGGAAGACAGAGTGTAAGTTTTGGTTTTTTTCTATTTTGTGGTTGTTAATTTTGTTTATTAAGTGTTGGCCCTATTTTTAGGATATATTTTTTTTTGTTGATTGGCTTCGTTCATTTCTTGGTTTAAGTTTGTTAATTTTATATGTGGCACTCCTCTTCAATCGGGTATCCATTTTTTACGAGATTCAATTAATTAAAATGTTCGAATTAGCTTGTAAGCGCAAGAGCTTATTAAGGAGTCATTTTCCAGCAAGCTGTGTCTTTTTGCATATTTATGTTCGTACAATCACATCCAAGGAGGTGCATGGATCAGTATTCAGTACATTTTTCTTCTTCTGTTTAACACTGGATCAGGATCTTAATTCAACAATTTGTACTAATCTCTCTACAATATTATTCAAGTTCTAACTCGAAATAATGCATGTTATTAACACAATATTTCTCTAATTTCAATGTATATATATGTTTTTAACGATCAATCCGCATCCATTTAGCTGAGCAAATGACGATTGATATGCCGTGGTATATAAGTTTTTTACACGAATTGCTAAATCAGTCATGACTTATCTAGTTTTGATGATATATCCGACGCTATCCATAGCTAGATGGTACGAATTAAAGGCTGTCACGTCTTAACTATGACCATTGGCCATTGCTTAGGTTAAGTATAATCCGTAGTCAAGTTTACCTTAAACAAAACACATAAAAAATTATTAACTTAGCCCCTTGAAAAAGGCATCCTGATGCGAAAAATCATTATACATTTAAAATGTATTACGATTCTGCACCAGCTAAGTTGTGTGAGGCAGAGGCATCTTCTTATCTTGGGGAATCAACTTGGTTTGAAAAGCATCCAAAAAGCAGAAACGAATAAAGAAAACCCAAAAAGAAACTGAAATTGGATGTGGAAAATAATAATATCATTTGCAATGAAGCTCAAATATAAAAGGCAGACATCGATGTACTGTTGGTGCAATTATAAATCAGGATGAAGTTTTTGTTTCAGCTGCCTTGTTGTTCATGCTTCTGTTTCGTCAAGCCGAAGAAGGGGAAACACAAGGAGGGTGAGACAAAGAAAGAGTGATGAGAAAAAGCTTCTTTAAAGAGAGAATGCATCAATTTCTATTTGATTGATCTTTCTGCTGTCAATTTTCTTTTTCTTATATGCGTCTATTGATGAATATATAATGTTATATCCTCTTCTTGGTTTATAATTATCACTTATGATTTCTCCAAATTTTTTTTTGAGACTTCTTAAAAGTGTTCTACGTACAATATTTTTTTTATACATATAATGGTCAAATATACGTAATTGATATACCAAGTGAATACACAAGAATATATATATATATATATATAATTAATAATATCAAATTAATACATCTAATTATGTTTTCTCAGCCGTTTACATGTCCAGTGATGATGCGCCCTTAAAATGATATTAATGTTTGATGATGCTTAGAAGTGCGCCAGTTTATTGGAGCTTAGGTCAGGACCGGATCAGCTTAAGGACATATTAAAAATCAAAAGCAGTAGGGGTTGATAGGTTAGTGATATCTCTAAAGGTATGCAATCAAAACGACGTTGAATTGCTTCCTATTTTGAGTTTTCAAGTCGGGCTTTTAACAAATGACATCTTGTGACTTAGTTAATGTAGTGTACGAAAGTCATCTAAATTGTGTACTCTTGGATTTCAAGTCCGGAAGCCAAGCCGAAATTATTTTCACAGGAATATATATAGGCTGTAACGCTTTCTGCAAATATTTAGTAACATTTTTGTATCTTTAATAAATGTCTCCCTAAATAGTTATTTTGCCGATTTTGGATGACCATTGGAAAATAAGAAAATGATATTTGAAGTGGAACGATGGAAAGAAAAAGAAACAAACAAACGTAGAAGAGAAGGTTTTTGCCTCATATTTAGTGGGTGTCCGTTTGTGTAGTTGGTTAGAATCAATTGATGTGAGATAGAGAAATAGAAGAGTGATCGTATAATATCTTTGTACCTGTAAACTGATATCAATTTAAATACGAAAACATGAGAAAAAGTTCTCTTTTTGGTTTGTTTAGATTAATTGACGCTTATATCGATCGATTTAATTTGTCAACCTTTGAAACCAAAGTAGATGTTGAAATAAAATTATATCGACGATGAAAATTAGCATTGTTAGCGAGTAAGGCTTATTGAAGAAAACTATGATATAGTTTTAACTATAAAAAAATTAGTTTCGACCCCAAATTTTTTTTTTAAAAAAATGATTTTTAATATCGTGACAATGAAGATAAAACACAGAACAATATAAGTTGACAAGTCTTTTGAAATTTGTTGTATAATATTGGCTTAATATTGTTAAAATTTCCACGTCCCATGAACTGTTACGTGTAGCCTTAGACCTAGAGTCTCCTCTAAGCAATTTAATTTTTCATTTAATCGTTAGTTAAGTGAAGAAGAAACAGATAACTAATCTTGCTTTAATTGAATATCGTAATTAAACACCTTGTTCCAACCATTCTTGTAAAAATAGTCCCTTGATTTCGAAATTCTTGAGAAATAAAATACTCTATATGCCAATAAAAAATCCTGTGAGTTCAGAAATTGCATTACTTTTAGCTCATGCTATTATGATCTGAATTGAGGAGGGAACGGTGTCGATTTGGAGAAGATGGGATTCAACGGTGTCGTTTTGCCTATCCAGACGATTACAGCAACGCGCACGAAGCTATCTAAGATGCACAAGGAGAAGGAACATATTGTACATTGGATTTTCAAATTCTCAAGACGTCGTAAGAAGATTCTCTTCTTAATCTCCACTCTTGTCTTCATTCGCCTCCTTTACGTCTGGAGAGGTAAAATACTTTTGTTTGATTGTTGTGTAATTAGTTATGATAATTTGAGGTTTTTCTTTTGTTTCAGTTTCAGCTGCTACTTGGAGAAACTCTCATGTTTCTCAAGAGTTTCGAATAGAAAAATATATATACTTACTTTGCCATGGTTTAATTTTGTAGTAAATTATTTTCTAGAATTTTGATGAGTAGTCCACCGAATAAATTGAATATAACTAAACAGATCCAGAATCGCATCTAGCCGAACGAAAATCCAATTAAATTGTAGATACAGATGGGTTTTATTTCTATTTTTATTTTTTGTATGAAACCAAACCGTATACCGACCAAAGCTGGAATAATGCATTAAAAGACTAAAATACCCTTGTCAAACCACATGTGGGTTTTTTTGCTAGCTTCTTTGTAAAGGAACAACAAAAGGTGGGTTTTGGATTAGGGCTCCGGTTCTTGCCAAAACTGTGTTGTCCTCTCTATTTTGGTTGCAATCAGGTGAAGATGGCCAGGATATTGAAGTTCCTCCGAGTCAGCATTTCAGTGTCATTACAAATAAAGAGCAAATAAGCGATATCCAGAATAACTTATCTTACGTGAGAAAAGCTGTTAAAGCATATCGACCTCGTCCTCCTCCATATTTTCACGGCTATAAACTTCCTCAAGAACATCCTTGTAACAGATTCACTTTACCTCCTCCACCAGCTGACAAAAAAAGAACCGGACCACGCCGTAAGATATATAAACACTAATGATATGTAACAAAACTTAATAATCTGAGATTATCTGTCTTGATATAACACTAATGATATATAACACTTGCTGGTTTTGATTTTTTTCAGCATGTCCGGTTTGTTACCTTCCATTGGAAGAAGCAATCGCCTTGATACCAAGCTCACCATCTTTTTCCCCTGTTCTTAAGAATCTAACATATATACATGAGGAGCCACTAAACCGAAAAACAGAGTTTGGAGGGTCAGATTTTGGCGGCTATCCGACTTTGAAACAGAGGAGAAGATCTTTTAACATCAAAGGATCGATGAGCGTGCATTGCGGGTGATTAAGAGTGTATCTCTTAGTTCTTGTCACGTTTTTCTCTGTGGACTTAATCCACAATGCTTTTTTTTTTTTACCAGATTTGTCAAAGGACCTGAACCTGGAAGAGGAACAGGATTTGATATCGATGAGACTGATCTTCTTGAAATGAAGCGGTGTCGAGGGATAGTTGTTGCTTCAACAGTATTTGGTAATTTTCTTAATGCTTCTCATAGTCGTTTTTTCTCCTCTTCTTCTTAATTATGGTTTCTGATGAAGAAGTTCTCTTGCTTTAATTTTCAGATGCTTTTGATGATGTGAAGAGCCCGAGCAATATTAGTAAATATTCAGAGCAAACGGTTTGTTTCTTCATGTTTGTTGATGAAAAAACTGAATCAAGCTTGAAGAGAGATAAAAGCTTTAATAGCACCACCAGTAAAGTAGGATTATGGAGAGTTGTAGTTGTTCATAATCTTCCTTATACAGATGGAAGGCGCAATGGAAAGGTAAATAAAACATATCCTTTTTTTTCTTAAGTTTTTTTCTTCAAAATATGATAATTTATGATCTTGCTTCTTGCAGGTGCCAAAGCTTCTTGTCCATAGGCTATTTCCGAATTCTCGGTATTCTATATGGGTTGATGGGAAATTAGACCTTGTGGTCGATCCACATCAAATTCTCGAGAGGTTCTTGTGGAGGGAAAATGTCACATTTGCAATCTCTAGACATTACAAAAGGTTTGATGTGTTTGTGGAAGCGGAAGCAAATAAAGCTGCGGGTAAATATGCTAATGCGTCTATCGACTTTCAAGTGAATTTCTACAAGAATGAAGGTTTAACACCTTATTCCCCTGCGAAGCTCCCAATCACAAGCGGTAAAAGATATATGTTTTCTTATCGTTATAAATCGGAAATATCATACATTTTAATGACTTGTATGGATGGATTTTGCAGATGTACCAGAAGGATGTGTCATCTTAAGAGAGCATGTTCCAATTAGCAATTTATTTACTTGCCTTTGGTTCAATGAAGTTGATCGCTTCACTTCTAGAGACCAAATCAGTTTCTCAACAGTGAGAGACAAGATAGCTGCAAAAATAAAATGGAATGTGAGCATGTTTCTAGACTGCGAAAGACGCAACTTTGTGGTTCAGGTGATTCTTCATCTTGCAAATGATTAGCCTAATTAACTTTTGTGTCAGTTTCTAGTACAATACTGAAAATTGGGAAGATTCCACGAGCATAACATCATGACATGATCACTGTCAAAATCATATCATTGCCTAAGACCCAAGCTTGTATTTACAAAAGGCCATTTTAACTTTTATTCAAATATACAGAAAATGAGAAAAGAAAAAAAGAAGGCTCATTTTTTGTAACCAAAAACATAAAGAAGTTAAAAAGTAAGTCCAATGATGTAAAAACAACCCCAAATTATTTTTTCATCTAGGGACCCCAAATTTATAGGATCGAGCCTGTTTAAAGCATGATGAGCTTAGTGTTTTTTTCTTTCTTTTAAATTCATTTGAAACTGTGAACAATGCAGAGATATCATCGAGCAGATCAAGAGAAACTGAAGAAGAAACAGTCTCCAATGGCCATTCTTCCTCCACCGGCATTGATCAGCAGCTATTTGCCTAGAAAGTTGTCTAATATGAGCCACGTCGTAAGCAGAACGCCTCCCAGTAGGCGAGGAAGAGACAAACAATCTACTTTGCCTACAAGATTACCACAGACAGCTTAAAGAGAATTGGTTGGTTACTTGACTCAAAATATTCAAATTTCAATCTTTTAATGTGTATATGTATGCACTAAAAACGAAACATTGTAATTGGACATCAGATTATCAAGAAAGTGTCTTTTTATTCATATCATCTTTAAATACTCACATTGGCAATTTAGTATGTGTAGAAAACTTGGAACATAACAAGGTTCTGTCATCTAAGTACTCCATATTTGATACGAATACCTTAAAGTTCAGCTAGCGAATATTTGGATGACTGATTAATTATATCTAGTTACTCAACATTTAGCCTTATCTTCATCACATACATTTAGTGCTTTTTAGTACTAGAGAAAGTGAAGAACCTTAGTTACAAAAATTTGAATCATGAAAAAGACTAGTTAAGAGATATAATCGAACAATTTAGATTATTTTTTGGTAGCGAAGCAATATTGATGGTCCACAATGACCAAGTGGTTGGTAAAGTGATGAGCTTTCCCACCAAAGTAAATAATTAAATAATAAACAGAGTTTGTGTCCATTCAAAGTTGCACAATAAGAAAAAGGTGGTAATATTAAAATGTGAATTAAAACAAAGGGTTCCACTTTGTACTTAAATCATTGTGCTAATGGATTCTGTTGTCATAATAGTTTCTCCACTTTCTTCACAATCTGCCGCACTCTTATTATTCTATGCACTTAGAGTCTTATACCTATATGTAAAATGGACATATACTCGTATATGTAATGTATAAAGCAAAGGCTGCTAATGAATAGTTATCGCTGCTTTTATGTTGAACTGTTCCTTGCATTCTGGAAATATTGAGAGGAATGTATTTAAATCAATTTTGTCTACGAAATGATAATTGTCTTTATTCCGATGTGAGTTATCCCGAAACAAATCTCATATGTTTATACACTATGACCAATTGATCTCTAATATATATTTCCCAAGTAATTTCTATTGAAATAATCAATATACATAAGTTTTCTTACTTGTGTTCCTCACTTGTATATATTCTCGTGATAAAATACATAATCGGCCAATTCTTTATGCTTAAACACGTACATTTATAATCCAGAACCAGATCGCGTCATATGTGTCTGATGTACAAGGTTATCTTAACAAATAATTACATTGACATCATCAATCGTATATTTAAAGTTAGATTGATTTTATTTTCTCTATTGTAAGAGGACGTGTTTTCATAAGATCTTTCTTTTTAATATATAAACATAAATAATTGGGTCGTCCTTTGAATAACATAAACAAATGTCGTATAGAAAATAGAGTGATACCACATTTATGAGTTTTCACACCATGAAATGACTTCTCGTTTTTTTTTCTTCCAAATATACCACATAATAACAGAAAAATTACAAGAATTAGCTCTTATCTACACCCAACTCTTTCCCTCTCCATAGCAGATGTATAGTCCAAGTTCTCAAATATATAAAAGGGGAATATGCTTGGTGCAAAAGGAAGATGAAACCGTCGGCAAGAATTCAAAATTTCAAATATTACATGCTCTAGAATTGTGTTTGATTAGACCCGTCATACTTCTAGTGTGTGGCTAATTAATTCTTAATTATGGATAGATCTCTATATACTACATCGGTATATATTTATGGTTTCTTTAGAACTTTATGAAGTGTAACGTTTCATGAAATCGTATATGAGGTTTTCCTATTCGGAAGTGATAGCTGGAGTTATCAATTTTATGTAGTGTCCCAAAAATGATATAATTGCCTCGAGATTCTTTGTAACGAATTGCTTCTAATGAAATTATGTTGAAAAAGGAAAAACTTTCTCATTCCACGACACGTATGATTATCTTAATCAGATACTCTTTCGGATGAGCACAAGGGCACCAATTAAGAGGAAGAGGACATGAGAATCAAGTGCGTAAACAAATATGGCACACTACAAAAAGCAAAAAGAAAGAAAATCAATTTGTAAAGAGAAGGTAGGAACAAGTCATTTTCCAAAGGCCCTTCTTTCAAAATAGTTGTTTTTACTAAAAAGTCACTTTACAACTAGGATAAACATGTTCATCAATTTTAACTTTCCCCAATTAATATATTTTTTGAAAGATATTTCGCATTATCAAAATTTACATTGTTAAGGCTCTTAAGTTTTAACCACTTGCTTCGGTGTTAACATAATACAAGCACTAATTCAGCTATCCCATAATCTTCAAGCACTAATTTCAGAACTGATAATACTTTGGTATTTGCGGTCTGGATTATAAACAATAAGAATCAATAATTTAAGAAACAAATAATATTGGGATGTTCTTTTACAAACAAAAATGTTGGGTTATGTTTGGAGTTGGGTCTATATATATATTTTTCTCTTCCAAGTTTCAATAATTAATCAAGTAATTTAAAAGGGATGCATTAGCTGAAAATGTAAGAGTAGTAATACGGAAACTAACACAGAACACAACACAGAGATTTTCTTTTTAAAGATATTTCACTAGTAAATCTGTTTGTAACTTACAAGTATACAGAACCCGATTTAGAGCAACCTCAAGACACACCATGATTTGCTACACTAGTCTCACTTGTTTTTGAATCGATACGTGATTCAAGAACCTCTCACCCAAATCCCTTAGCACACTAGCTCACAAAAACCCTCACAGATTTTCGCTCACCCTTTGCTAAGTATTCTCTCAGTTGTGTTACAGCCCTACATAGCTCTAACACGCCTATTTATACTCAATAGGACTTGCGGCTGATCCTCGCCTAGATTTTCCTTCTGATTACACTAAATCTTCATGAGAATCTTCACCTTCCTTATCTTCTCCTAAGATAGAGGAAACTTGATATTTTCTTCAAAGATCCTCCAAGATATTCCAAGCTTCTTATCCACGTCAGCTTCTCGTCTCTTGAAGTGTCCAGCACGTCCTGCAGCTCCAGCTCAGCTTCCAGCTCACCTCCACGTGTATAGATTGCTACGCAAGTCTTCCCGTGTCAGTTCCAGAGCTAGTCGGACTGCTACACGTGCTGCTCCAGCCTTGTTTTCATCTTCAATCTCCCCCTTTTTAGCATATGTGCTCCACAAGTACCTGTTCAGGAAATCGAGACCAAACAAGCAACAACCAACACAATTCTGGGAATGATTCCAAAAACAAAATCCGATTAACCAAAAGAGACTCCAAGAAACCAATGGAGTGTCAAGTCTTATCATAACCGAGTTCAAAGAGATATGAAATAAAACATAAAGCACAATGTCTTAAAACACTCTCTCCTTACTCCCCCAGAATTCGAAAAACCCCAAAATAAACCCAAACAAAAACTCCCTCATAGTTCATGCATCCACTGATTTCAATCTTCTCCCCCTGCTTGTGAGCACAGATGTTAAAAATACTCGATGAGCAAACATAATTTGAAGGTTCAGATAGGGTCTAAGTGGGTTTACCTGTGACTGCTGCGCGTAGCATGGCCGTTACTACCCCGAGTTGCTCAAGAACTGATGCCACATCTTTAAGAGCTATCCTGATTCCCTCTGCATCAGCTGGAGCCTCAGGCACTCGAATCACTCCTAGACTCACGCTGTTGACTCCTTCAGTTGATATCTCTGGTTGAGTAGTTGCTGTAGAACGCAGATTCGTCCTAGGCTGATGAGACGTTGATGCTGATGCAGTCTTCTTCCGGGCCTCTTTCTTCTCCTTTCCCTTAGTCCTCACCTCTGTAGCAGCAGCTGCGGCTTCTTTCTTGAGAAATGTCTCTCCGCTTCGTGGATCTTTCTTGTACTTTGTTGGAAAGATCCACATCTCTCCTTCTTCAAGCTGCAGGATCAACTGTCTCTTGATGACCTTGCTGATGAGACAGGGAAACATCAGCCATCTTCGATCTCCTCTGATCACTTTGCTCAGATCGAGCATCTGCTGGAAGATCATCCGTCCTATGTCTATTTTGACTCCGTGTGCCAGTTTTTGTAGACCAGTCTAGCTCGTTCTTCGGAGATATGATGCTTATGTGTTGACGGCACCCAGTTGTACGACGCAATAACCATCAGAGCGGCTATCCTGGGTGGAAAATCCCTCGAAGTAAGCTCGGACCAAACAGACTGATGCCCTTGAGACAGATACTTCGATACCTCGGAGATTGGCACAAGATCTGCCTCTGCTTCTTTCTTCCTCTCTGCCTCAGACAGCGGCTCACGACGAAGAGTCTCGTTGATGATTCCTGGCGAGATCTGGACCTTTGCTCCCCTGATTCTCACCACAAACACCTGTGATGGGTCACTTGGTGTCTCAGGTGGTAGTCCGGCGTAGAACTCTCGCACCACCTTACTCATGTAAGGTTCGAGCTCCGTTACTGACCATCGCATCCCACTTTGAAGAAGTACCTCATGATACCTCCACTCATCAGCCTCATCCACATCAACCACTCGTTCACACTAGATGTGACGATCCTTGAACAGCTTGATTCGTTCATCAGACACAGCTTTCTTTTTGCTCCGGAGATTCACCTTCTTCTTTTTCTGTTTCTTGACATGACTCGACTCAGCCTCTGGACCAGGAGCAGCTGGAGATTGCTCAGTCCTTGGCTCAGAGGACTCTGCAGAGGTGGCTCTTTTATTTTCTTTTCGAGCTTTCTTTGCCACTAGAACTGGCACAATCGCCAAACTCCGTTTTCTTCTGACCTCATCAATCTGCTCCTGAACCGACATCTCCTCCGGTAGCTCGTCGGTCTGGGACGACAAATCTCTTCCTTCGTCGTCCTCAAGAATCTCCTTATCGTTGCCCACGGGATCAGCTGCTGTCTGAGTTTCCGATTCCGCCTCTTCGTTCTCTCGCAACTGTTTGGCTTCTTGAATCTCAGTTGCTGCTTCTGGGCTTTCTTCCTTCTCTACTTCAGGCTCATCCATGGCCTCTCATTCCTCCTCTTGTGCCACTGATTCGACCTGGACTTCGTCGGGAAGCTGATTTTCATCTAGGATTTGGTCGAGGAATTTCCGCCCTCATCTGCTGTAGCGAATGACTCGCTCTCGCTTTTGGCCCCCGTTCCAGCCTCTGTTCCTCCCTTGCTCCGAGTCACCGGCAGATTCTGATCTTCTCCACTCGATTCATCGATTAAGTGAGGAGACGAAGCATCACCTGTTGCATGTGCCATCTTTGACTTTGATTTCTTTCCGATGAGCCCTCTTCGTGTTGCAGACACCATTTTATTCACCGATCTGGACCAAGATGCGTTGAATTGAATCACACAAGTTCTCTGCACCTAGGGTTTTTGAACAGTTCGATGTAGTGTCTCTTCCTCTTCCTCTCCCGCAAATATAGCAACATCGCTTCGATTTCCCTCTCCTTATTTGATTTTCCTTTTTCTACATGGGTTGCTGTTGGGCCTGTCTACATGAGCATCATTTGTCCACGGCCCACTTCCTGTTTAACCATGACAAGTCTTTTTCTAGCACAAGAACATCCATTAATACATCACAAGGCACACGACAGTCATTGACACATTTAAACCGAAGAATTTTGTGATGGCTAACATGAATAGTAACCGTTCATCTCATCACACCTCAACTAGCTTTTGAAAACAGTTTTTGCTTATTTACCCAGATTCACAGATGACACACAAGCTGATTCAGCACATGACTCGAATGATCACTCTGCTTCTTCTTGATTCTTTGTACCTTGCCAGGTTTGATATTGAGACTAGCTTTCACACTATGTTGTCTTTATCACGCTCTTCATCAGTTTTCAACATTTATTCAGCAAGAGAGAACCTTAGGTACTTGTCACAGTGTATTTTTTATTGGATACACTGTGACTTGGCAGTTTCCTTTCTTTTTCTGCCTTGGATTTTTCTTTGATCTTTGGACAGGTCTTCTTTTTGATGTAAGACCTATCTCTGAAGTATAGATTATTCTGTAGCTCAGTCTTATCATTGCGATTTCTCAAAGACCGACTTATATTGCTTTCAGGCTGTTTGATTCTCTCTGTGAAACCTGTACTGATGTCAAGACATGACGACAAGATAGGTAGCTCTTTTTCTCCGACCTTTAACCCTCAAGGCTGAATCGAAACGTTATGATCATCCTGAGCCTGTACCTGTATCAGTTCTGCACATCTCAAAACACTTGTTAAATTCCACAAACACCAATTGCATTTCTTAAGGTGACAAAACGATTAAAGTCCAGTGGTTTTGTGAATAAATCAGCCAGTTGAGATACAGTGACAACATGCTCGATCACTACCTGTTTTCTTTCCACTAACTCACGGATAAAGTGGTGTCTTATGTCGATGTGCTTGGTCCTTGAGTGTTGTACTGGGTTTTTGGAAATGCTTATAGCACTCTTGTTATCACAGTACACAAGAAATGGACCTGAATCTATTCCATAGTCAGCGGACATCTGCTTCATCCACAGTAGTTGGCTACAACAGCTCCCCATGGCAATGTATTCTGCTTCAGCAGTGGAGAGGGACACTGAGTTTTGCTTTTTGCTGAGCCACGAGATGAGGTTGTTTCCGAGAAAGAAACACCCACCACTGGTGCTTTTCCTGTCATCAGCACTTCCTGTCCAATCTGCATCACAGTATCCCACTAGGTTCTGATTCGATCCTTTTGAGTACCAGATGCCTAACTCAACTGTGCCCTTGACGTACTTGATGATCCTCTTTACCGCCTCAAGATGCGATTGCTTAGGTTTAGCTTGGTACCTAGTACAGATGCCAACACTCAGGCACAGATCTGGTCTGCTTGCCGTGAGATAGAGGAGACTCCCAATCATTCCTCTATACAAGGTTGGATCGACACTTGCTCTCTCATCATCTCGCGTGAGGCTGGTGGTTGTGCTCATTGGGGTCTTTGCTTCTTTGGCTGAATCAAGCTTGAATCTCTTCAAGAGATTTCTGGCATAGGTGCTTTGTGATATGAAAACACCTTCCTCAGATTGTGTGATCTGAAGTCCCAAAAAGTACTTGAGCTCTCCCACCATACTCATCTCAAACTCACTCGTCATGCTTGCAACAAAGGCATCAACTAGCTCTTGAGAAGTTCCTCCAAAAATTATGTCATCCACATAGATCTGAACAACCATAATCTTATCCTTCTACTCTAGTATGAACAGGGTTTTGTCCACACTGCCTCTCATGTAACACTCGTGAACTAGGAAGCTCGTCAGTCGTTCGTACCAGGCTCTGGGTGCCTGCTTCAGTCCATACAATGCTTTCTTGAGCTTGTACACATGAGTTGGATTGTCTGCATCTTCGAACCCTTTCGGCTGCTCCACATACACCTCCTCCTGAATCAGATCATTCAGAAAATCACTCTTGACATCCATCTGATATACCCTGAAGTTAAGTATGCATGCCATTCCCAGAAAGAGTCTGATTGACTCAAGGCGTGCCACAGGTGCAAATGTCTCTTCAAAATCCACCCCTTCTACTTGAGAGTACCCCTGAGCCACTAGCCAAGCTTTATTTCGAACCACTGCTCCATTCTCATCAATTTTATTCTTGAAGATCCACTTGGTTCCCACAATGTTGCAATCCATCGGTCGTGGCACTAGTTCCCACACGTCATTTCGAACAAACTGCTCGAGTTCTTGTTCCATGACAACAATCCAGAACTCATCCTGCAACGCTTGTCTGTGATCTTTCAGTTCAATCACTGACACAAAGAAGGAATATAGCACCATCTCAGAGAACTTCCCAACCATTTTCTTGAAATCCAGTTGAATGCCACGAGTCTTCCTCCCTTCATTCACCTCACCGAAGATGTCTGAGGCTGAATGATTCCGATGAACTTGCTTTGTGTTCTCCTGAGTCACGATCTGAGGCTCTTCGGTTGACACAGATAGCTGTTGCATCGCCTCTGCTGTCTGTGTTACCCGATCACCTTCGTCACCTTCAGAATCACTCCCGATCAGAGGCTTCTCCCATTCCATCTGAGCATAGTCATCGAACACCACATTTACTGATTCAACCAGAACCTTTGTCCTCATGTTGAACACACGAAAGAGTGAGCTATGACCTGAGTAGCCCAGAAAAATTCCTTCATCACTCCTTGAATCAAACTTCTCAAGATGATCCTTGTCATTCAAGATGTAGCACCTGCACCCAAAAGCATGAAAGTAACTTACGTTAGGCGTCTTTCCTTTCCACAGTTCATAAGGAGTTTTCGATGTTCCCTTTCGCATGTACACCCGATTGATTATGTAACACGCTGTGCTGACTGCTTCTGCCCAAAAACGTTTTGGAACTTGATTCCCATAAATCATCGCACGAGCCATCTCCTGAAGTGTTCGATTCTTCCGTTCCACTACACCGTTTTGTTGTGGAGTTCTGGGTGCAGCAAACTGATGTGATATTCCATGACTTTCACAGAACAACTTCATGAACTCGTTCTGAAACTCTCCCCCATGATCACTCTTGACTCGTTTGATTGAACTTCGTTCATTCATGAGTTGTAAAGCCCAGATTCTGAAGCTATCCGCCGTGTCAGACTTTTCTCGGAGAAACCTAACCCATGTGAATCTGGTGAAGTCGTCAACCAGCACAAACACATACTTTTTACCTCCCAAACTCTCTGTCTGAACTGGCCCCATCAGATCCATATGAACTAGATCAAGTGGTGCTTTGGATTGTACGTCAGGTACTCGTTTGTGTTGGACTTTCACCTGTTTGCCTTGGTTACATGCTCCACACACAAACTTATCTCCTCCCTTGATCTTTGGAACTCCTCTAATGCTCTCTTTTGAGATGAGATCATTGAGATTCTGATGTTCATGTGTCCGAGTCGCTGGTGCCACAGCTGCAGATTATCACAGACAGTAAAACAGCTCATAACCGACCCTGACTTGTTCCACATGTAGCAATTGTTGTCTGATCTTTCTCCAGCTAGGATAATTTGTCCATCATCATTCACTGCTCTGCATCCTTTGTTGGTGAATATCACAATTAGCCCTTCATCACATAGTTGACTTATGCTAATTCGTCTTAAGTCCTTGTACTAAGTACACATTGACTAGATCAGGCTGACCTTCGTCTTTTGTAATGCCTTTTCCTTGTATGGCACCGACACTTCCATCACCAAACGTGACTCTTCCTCCCTTAATCTTCTTAACATTTTGGAGGTAGCTTCGGTTTCCAGTCATGTGCCGTGAGCAGCCACTATCGAAGTACCAAGGCTCTGACTCGTCTTCGTCGCTCTCAACTCGGGCCATGTTGCACTTGAATCCATGCCACAGCATTGACATTGGATCATCCCTGAAAGATCTCTTAACAGTGAATTCTCTTGGCTTGAAAGAATTCTTCTTCTGTTGTCCCTTAGGTTCGAATCGCAAATCCTCTTTCCTGAGCCAGACTTGATTCGTGGGTCCATTCCAACTGAACTTCCGTTGCTTCATTAGTTTCTGAAGCCTGTTCCATCTGCTGTAGCAGTATGCCTTGATATGTCCGATCTTGCCACAGTAATAGCACTCTCGTCCTTTTCGTAGTTTGGTGACAAGTCTTTGATTTTCAGGCCGGTTGTATCCTGATGAAACAAACTTGATTTCATCTGAGCTCTTCTGTTCCCTTCCACTGTACCCCAATCCATGCTTCGTATTGGCTTGACATCCGTAGCTCAGGATCTTG